AATAGTCGTTATATTGTACTTATCCTGATAAATTATATCAAATCTCATCTAACATATAAGTTATAACATATAATATTCCACAAAATAACATGTCATACTTAGATCCAACATATATTGAAAATTTACACCCACTTATATAACATATATATATATATTCAAATGTTTAACTTAGGATTCCAAAGATAGAGTTAGGCAAAAAGAAAAATCGGAAAATAGGCGCATTTCGCAAATCAAAGAAAAAATTACACAATTTGACCTCCAACCCGATACCTTGTAGCGGTCGATCCGACGGGTGCGTGCAGCCCGTTTTTCTCATCGGATTAGGATTAAAGTGAGTCAACCCACGAGTCGACACGCGAGTTAACAACCTTGCCCCCGACACATATTCGCCCTTCCCGCAGAAATGTCGTTCGTCTTCTCTCGGTCATCATTCCCTGATCCACCAGCCCGTCGTCGACTCCCGACCATCATTTATCGATATTTTACAACGACCCTTCTTCCTCCCCCTGAGCAACTGAATCAATCTTCGCGTTCCATCTTTTACACTCCCTTCATTTCCAGATTGAAACTCAATAGTCGCTGACACCATGACCCATCGCTCAATCTCAGGTCACGCCGTCGACTTCTCTCACGCCGACCTCCACAGTTCGCCGTTCACTCTTCAACTTCTAACACCAGGAAGATCATGTTCATCTTTCTCAGACCCACCCCAATCTAATTTGGTTTTCAATCGAAGATTGGAATCCCCGCCTCCAACCATAAATTTCGTCCCCAATACTGAGCTACAATCCCCAATCCAGCAGCCGCTCGACAACAATATTCATCTTCCCCTTCAACGAACCGTCATCCTCTCCATCGTCGCCCAAGTCAAGATAATTGGCATCAGAAGAGGGCGCTCAAAAACTAGCAATTTAATTGTGTAGTTGTACCCTCTCATCGCCAGCTGCAGGGGTTACAATTGCTTACTGATTTTTAGGATTTATGTTCGTTGTTTGATTCTTACACTACTCCCAGTTTCATCCTCACAAAAATGACAAGTAATTGATTCAAATAAATAACTAACTAACCCTCTTGGATGGATCTCAAATTTGCAAGAAGCCATGCGGATGCCGCACTGGAACCTCAACGTCCGCATCATAGCCTCATCACGCAGCCGTTGCTTTAGTTCTCGATCGAAAACATATATATCGCACCCTCAACTGGTCAAGACCATCAGGTTAGTTCCAATTCTTTTATATGCTTCTAGATTCACAATGGACCTTTTTTTTTTTAAGATGGTGTTAGTTTTCAGTTTTTAAGATGGTGTTATTTTTAAATTATATTATTTTAGATTATTGTTGACCACAAAGTTCAAAAATAGTACGCAGTGAACTTACCGTTTCAGATTGCGAGTAGATTAATCTCCTGTAGGTAACATAAAATCAAGTTAATAATATCGAATCTTATGAATAAATACCTCTTAAGCCATTAACGTTAACTCTAAGAAGTGTAACATTATATCGAAAATATGAAATAGTATATAGACAGTGGTAAGCTAGGATGAGCTAATCATAAAAAAAAAAAAAAAAAACTATGAACTAAATACCATAATGTCACAAAAAAGTGACGTAAATACTATTTTTCAATCATATGCAAGAACTATATAAAATATCGAAAGTTATTCAACAACAAAACCTATCCATATTCATTTAAATTATGTATAAGTTATTGAGAAGATCCCAAATTATTTTAAAATGGGTTAATACTTTATTTTGGCCTGAACTATACCCATATAATTAACTTTGGTCAATGATTTTTGAAAATGTGTATTTTGACCTAAACTATATATCATATAGACTCAATTGGTCCGTCGCATGGTTTGACTGTTAATTCGGACAGTCAACACCATTGATCGTTAGTCAACGGTCCAGCTCACAGCCATATAAGAACCAAACCAAAAAAAAATCAAAATCAAATTATTATATTATTTTTCATCTAATTAATAAGATATTAAGTAATAATAAATAAGCTAATAAATAATTTTATTATTCCTTTATTTTAATTATTAAATTTTTATTAATTTTAATTTTCCACATAGCATCCACATCAACATAACATGCTGATTCACTAACGATCAATGATGTTGACCGTCTAATTTGACAGAAATTCACGAGTCGGGTCAATTGAGTCTATATGGTGTATAGTTGAGGCCATGATAGAAATTTCTGAAACCACTGGCCAAAGTTGATTATATGAGTATAGTTCGGGCCAAAATAAGGTATTAACTCTTTTAAAATATAGATTGTTAGTTAACATAATAATAAATGAACTCAAATCAATCGATCAACGAGTCTGGTAAAAGCTAGTTTTTTTGCTTACAATCAATGGCCACTAGCAATCACGAACTTTATTTAAGCACACTCCTCGGTCTATTCTTGCTATTCACATTTCCATCATAATAATGAAGGAGGTCATCAAACAATTTAGGTGTTTCAATGGTTTGAGTACCAAAAAACCCCATACACTTTGAAAATGCAAACAAAATTATTAATGATTCCAACATATTGTATACCCCACATATTAATAATCCACTGCAAAGTCCGTTACTAACTAATATCAAAACACTAATAACCACACCGTAAATCAGTACAAATATCTATAACAGAACAGAAAATAAAAAACATTGCAAACATCTATATACCATTACTAGTATCATATTAAAGCATTGTTAACGATAATATATGCATTATCACAATACCACAACAAAAAATGTGAATAACCATTAGGAATTTGCTACGTTGACATGCACTTTTCGGTCGACCTCATATAGGATTAAGTCGACCTAATCTGTTGTTTCAGTGTAAAAATAGTTTCATGGTGTCTACTTTGGAGATTCATATCTTATAATTGGCTAGATGGAAATTGGAGATCAATGTATTATTTTGAAGCTGAAGTGTCCCTCTACACATTAAAGTACTTGGGAGCTCAATAAGAAGTCCAGAACACCATTTTTGAACCTGATCAAAAGGCTATGCCAAAACTTGGAAACTGCCTGAAAATGGCTAAGTCTAGGAACATGTTTGTGAAGCCTACTTTGGAACTCAATTCAAGAAACATGGATGCGAATCGAGTCCAGGGGTCTCTACCACGTTAAATTAGGTATGTTTTTATACAAAGTCAAGGCATTTTATGAAAGATTGGATATCTGTAAGGCTTCAAACAAAAGGGTCGAAGTTGCTACGAAGGCTGTTTTTCTGGCAGCTTGCTTGTGCTCGAAGTCTGAACCCCTCGTCTGCCTTCTGGTCGCCCTAACTCTAATGATAAATGACTTATATACCCCAATAAAATTTCAAAATTTAAACAAACCAAACAATCCCTAACCCCTCAAACTGAACCCCTCATCTGCCTTCTTCGCGAATCCCTCTCGACGCACCAGTTCGTCGGCGTCTTTCCCGCCGTCGTCGTCGCCCGTTCTCTAACGAAATTTTCAAAAAAACGCTCAACCTAAGGCAAGTTACGGTTGGTCCATGGTGCAACCGCAACTCACTTACGGTTGGTCCATGGTGCAACCGCAAATGAGCTACGGTTCCCTTTTTTTGTTTTTTTTCAATTTTTTTAGTGAACTTTACCGATTCTGAGTCGCTAGTCATGGTCCAGACATCATATCGACGATTCCAACTCCAGAATGACTATGATGGATTCTCTCTTTTGAATAATGTTTTATTTTCTTTACTAAGTGGTGTTTGTTTGCTAAAGGAAGAGTAAAGAAGCTAAAAGGTTAAATTTGTAACTTTGATGTTTTTTTGGGCGATATTTAGCAATTTTAAGGGCGACCTTTAGCAACTCCCTTAATTAAAACCGCTCTAATACCCTAATTACCCTTACCGACTCAATAACTACCAACCAATAAATACCTACCTAAATTTCTCTTAGCCAGGGCTTAGGATAGGGTCAGTAACAATTGGTTACTGACCTATGAGTAACTAAATCTGGACTTTTAGATCTAAGTAAGCCCAGAAAATCCAGATCTAAGGGTTGTCAATTAAAGACATTTTATTTTCCCTAGTTTTCATAATCGGCTCTTATCTTCTTCGTTCTAACTCGGATTTCAAAAAATTTTGCACACATGGAACGAGTTCGTTGTGCTCTACAAAATGAGATAAATTTTCAATATATTTCGAGAAACTTTTTTTTTTACCAACTACATACCATATGGTAACTTCTTTGTTTTTAAGTCATTTTTGAAAACGTTTGCTTGGAAGGAACGAGTTCATCCTGATCTATTGGATCTACAAATTTCTGGGTGAAAAAAAAAAATATGGACAAAAAATTACCGTACTTTACCACCATGGTATGTGGGTGGTAACTTGTGATAAACAATGATGAAAGTCGTAAATGACAGTTAGTATACTCCTACTATCATGTATTCAACCTTCTTACCATAATGGTATGTTCATACCAACATGGTACGCTTTCTTACCATATGGTATTAAATAGCATACCATATGGTAATGACTAGTAAAAAATTATTCAAATTTTTTTGTACTAAAAATATATCAAAGTGGATATTATTTTAAAGAGCACATTTAATCTGATTTATCTGTGCAAAAAAATTAAATTTCGACCTAAAACGATAGAGAAATCGGCGATTAAAGTTTAAAGGAGAAAAGATATAAAAAAAATTCAGGAGAGAGAATATGTTGATGTTATGTGAATGTGGTCATGTTACTAATGATTACCCACCATATGGATTACTTACTTGATCCGCTCCTAATAAAAATAGTTTAAGCAACTTTCTTAAGTTTGGAGGGAGTGTGATGGGTCGGACGAAATAAGGGAATGGGGTATTAATGAGTTGTTGGTTGGTAGTTGTGCAAATATGATTGGGGAAGGTTGTTGGGGAAACACCAAGTTTAAGTGTGGTTTAGGGTATTACACGCATCCCTCCTCGTTTTCCCTAAATATAAATAAAAAAAATAGTTCACTATTGAAGATGCTTAGCGCCAAATCCTTCCCGCCCTAAACTCATTGTTCTTTTATTAATTTTTTTTTTTTTTTGTTAGATCTTTTATTTGCTAACTAGTTAACAACTCATACAACACATTACCAAGACCAACAACAAGAGAAAGGAATAGAAGCAAAACTTGATCAAGCCCTCCATTTCTCAATCAATTGCTTCAAACCATCATCACCCGTCTCACCAACAACCTTCCTGACCTCATCTCTAATCTCACCAGCTCGCAATCTCAATCCTTCGTCCTCCATCATGTCCTTAATCCTTCTCCCAATCTCTTCCCCCTTCACCAAAACTTCTCCAATCCATCCCCAATTCCCTCCCACAAACCCTAACCCACTTCCTTCCACCACTTCCCCATTGATCCTCTGGTCTCCGTGGAGCGGCCACGCCAGCACCGGAACTCCAACCCAAGCTGCTTCCACCACAGAGTTCCATCCACAGTGGCTCACAAACCCACCGACAGAATTGTGCCTCAGAACATCAACTTGATCCACCCATTCTTTAACCACGATCCCTTTTTCCTTAACCTCCCCCATCATCTCTGCCCCCAGTATTCCCTCCAATTTCTCTCCATCTTCTTTATCGACTGCTTTATCCTTCATCACCCATAGGAATGGATACCCTGATTTGACCAACCCTTCGCCCAATTCTCTGATTTGCTCTCTCGAAAGAGCTGTTCTGCTTCCGAAGCTCACATACACGACTGATTTAGCTAGCTGAGCATCCAGCCATTTCGATACAGCTTCGGCTCCTTCTCCGCCGAACCCTAATTTGCTCTCGAAATCATGATGGATTAGTCCAACATTGAACAATGGAGGCAACCCACCTGCCACTTCCCCTGTTTTAAGAGCCTTGAGGGTTTTCGATTCCAGCTGGTCGAATGTGTTTATTATGATTCCGTCGAACTGCCGGAGAATATCGCTGTTGGATTTGAACATGGTGGCGAAGAGCGACTCGGGGACTAGAAGCAGAGGCGGGATTGATGATCTGGGTATAGCTCCGATCCCCGGAATTTTGATCTCGGAGATTTTGGTGGAATCGGAGAGGGATTCGGATAGGACAGAGTAGTAAGAAGCCAGGGAGAACATTTTAGCTGAAGACGGGAAGAGGACATAGTTGGGGATCTTCAAGGGCTTGGTGATGGTGATGGTGGAGGAAATTAGAGTGATGTCGGAGACCATGGCGTCCAGAGGTGGAGAAAGAGAGGAGAGGATGGAAGAGAGGAGGTGGAGAGAGCGGCGGATGGATTCCCACTGGAGGAAGAAAGGGTCTTTGGAACTGGCAGCGGATGCGGGATCTAGAGGGAGGATGTGGAATTGCTTCTCAGTGACCTGTGGGAAACTGGAGAGAAAGCTGGATATGAGATTGGACTCGGCCTGAGTCACGATTGGGTGGCTGGTGATTAGCGTGACTCTGCAGTTTTGGCTCAGCAGCGATGCGGCTAGCCGGAGAAAGGGAGTGATGTGACCGGCGCCGGAGCTTGGAAGGAGAGCTACGTGAGGGGAGCGGAAGTCGTTGGCGTCGGCGGCGGGGCTTGACATTGCTAATGCTGCCGGCGGTTGTGGGGAGTAGGGGCTGGTGGAGGAGTTAAGTGGAAGTCAAACGTGAGTGTTTCGGTGAAGTTGGGTGGTTTGGAGGGAGACGGAAGAGGGCAAGTTCAGTTTTGTAGATGGGATTTTTTGGCTTGGCAGTCAATGATGAAGTAGGTGTATCGTGTGGCTAAGATGAAACCATGTCACTGTATGGTGATTCGTTAGTCAAGTTGGTTTTGTTCAATATGGGTATGAAACTATGAATATTTAAATGGTGACTAGTTTTTTTCTTAGAATATTATATAAATATGTGGCTAATATATTATATAAATATCAGTGTATAAATATCGAGGAATAATACAAAACTTAAAGGGAAATCTTCTCTGTGTACTAATGTTACATTAACGATATTATATTTAAAAACTTTGTATGTTCTTCAATTTATCTTTGTTTATTTGTCATGGTATAAGAGCTTTGAATTTGCCATCCTTGGATCTTATCGATAGGGTATTTGGTTTCTTCCAGCTCCTTTCTGTCCAATTGTCCGTGGATTTTGTTTTCAGGTATTAGTCTTCGTCGGGCTTTAGCTCCAAGTTGTTTGATGTATACTTGGAGAATGGATTCGAGAAAGATTGTTTATGTTGCCATCAACTTTGATGGAAATAACTTCCCTCTTTGGGAGTTTAACTTCACGATCTCGTCGAGGGTTGTCCCCTTTTTTCTATTCTGAACAGTCAGTACCCTAAACAATTTCAGTTTTTTTTTTTTTTTGACAAAAGATAATCATATATTGATTCAACAGAAGAGGTAGCTACATCCTGGAATACAATCAGGCCTGGAAATAGAAAAAACGACAAGTAGCCAGAGACAAAGAAAAGGCCTTTCAGCCACCACATGGACTACTCTATTGCTATTCCGACCTACAAATCGCACACTAAACCCCGCATGAGAAGCAAAACAATGCACAACCTCCTCGAGGACACACCCACACCAGCTATCGCTGGTATCCGCCCGATTTACCTTCTCGATGATGACCTTGGCATCCCCCTCAAATTGGACGTTCTGAAGACCAAGATTTATACACCAATAGAGCGCCTCCCGAAGTGAGAGAAGCTCCACGACCATCGGGTCCTCGATATCCCTAAACTGCGTCCCATGGGCCTGCAGGACCTCTCTCTGATGGTTGTGAAGAGCCACTCCCCCGGCCGAATGTGACCCAACTCGCGTAGCCCCATCCCACGAACATATAAAGCTTGGACCCGCACCCGGACTCACAGGAGGAAGAGAGGGCAATAGGCATGGAGCTACCGGATCCACCGGCAAACACCCCCCCCCCCCCCCATTCCTTACACTGTTGGTGAATTTGACACATCAAGGCAGGGAAGCCAAACTGTTTGCCATCAAAGACAACCCAGTTCCTAGATTTCCAAATCCGCTAGAGGACAGCCACCACCAACACGAGAACATTAGGTTGATGGACTAAAGCGAGCAATCTCTTAAGAAGGAGGGGGAAGTATGGCGAGGCAACCACTGACCAAGATGTTCCAATCCTGCATAATCCCGTAATGCTCGCGCCACTGGACAGTCAAGAAACAAGTGTTCTACCGTTTCCGATTCCCCCCCCCCCCCCCACAAACTGGGCACCGAGGCAGCACCGACACTTTCTTCCCAATTAGGTCCTCCGAAATTTGTCAAATGAATACCTTCAACTTGGGGAGGATATCAGCCTCCCACAGACGTATCCAACTAGCCATATCCATCCAGCTTACCGTAGACCGCCAACACCCATTTTTCCTATCTAGCTCAATAACTAAATGATAGGAGGATTTCACTGAGAATACTCCATCAGTAGTGGCATGCCAAATTAACCTATCCTCCACATTATTCCGTGGGAGAGGAATAGCTTTTATAGCCCGGCAGGTAGGGGGATCAAACCACTGTTCTAACTTTGAGTCACACCAACACCCTTCACCTTGCCTGACAACTTCAGCCACCCGTGGATCTCCCTCATCAGGGAGCACCTGGGGATTGTAAACCAGATGGTCATGCTGCAAATGCGGGATCCAGTTGGAGAAAAGGAGGGATGCCGACTGCCCATTACCAATTTGCCAACAGAGGCCCTTCTCAAGCAACTGCCTCCCATAAAGGATACTCTGCCAGCCCCAAGATGGTCTGGACCGTGCCTTGGCTTGGAGAAAGGTGCCCGTAGGAAAATATTTACCTTTATAGACTTGGGCCAAAAGAGATTGGGGTTCACTAAGGATAAGCCACCCGATTTTAGCCAATAAGGCTTGGTTAAAGTGCTCAAACCGACGAAAACCCACCCCCCATCATGTTTACTTCTACATAAGTTCCTCCAAGACATCCACCGAATCCGAGCTTGATCCTCAGTCACCCCTACCAAAAATGAGCTACATGCTTATCCAAGAGCCGACAGAGGGATAGGGGCAACTTGAAGCAAGACATTACATGCAAAGGCAAAGCTAGGGCAATGGACTTGATCAATGTTTCCCTAGCTGCCCACGAAAGTGTATGTTGCTTCCACCCTTGCAACTTTGCAAGCAATTTCTCCTCCAAGTAACGGAAGGTCTCCATTTTGGACCGTGCAATCAAGGTTGGTAAACCCAGATATTTGTCATGGACTCCTACCGCTCCTACCCCTAGGATTGCAGCTAAGAACTCCTGGTCCTCCTGAACAATGTTCTTGCTAAAACACACTGCCGATTTCTCCAAGTTCACTCTTTGACCGCTTAGCTCCTCATACTCATTAAGGACTTCGATCAAGTTCTCATATTTCTGGAGAGAACCCCTAAGGAATAGATAGGAGTCATCGGCAAAGAATAAATGAGAAACCCGAGGGGCCCGAGGGGTACTTTCACCCCTTGTAATCTTCCTGCCTCTATTGCTTGTTTAATGATTGCTGCAAAGCCCTCTGTGCAGAGCACAAACAACAGAGGAGACAATGGGTCCCCTTGTCGGAGCCCTCGAGAAGGAGTGAAGTAACCCGAGGGAGAGCCATTCATGAGAACTAAGAAACGGCCATTCGACTCTGTCATAGGCCTTTTCCATGTCACCTTGAGAGCCATGTACCCTTTCTTACCGCGAGTTTTGAGTTTCAAATCGTGTATCAATTCATGACCAACAAGAATGTTCTCTATGATCTGTCTCTCTCGAATGAAGGCATTTTGCCCGACAGAGACAATTCGAGGCAAGATATCGGCAAGGCGTTCAGCCATAATCTTGGTGATGATCTTATACACAAATTGACACAAGTTGATAGGCCAAAATTGTTTCATATTTTCCACATGATCCACTTTGGGTATTAAGGTCAGCCAGGTATGATTGAAGCTCTTAAGCATTCGCCCAGTCTCAAAGAAAGAGCAGACTGCGTCAATTACAGAGGTGCCAACAATATCCCATAAGGCCTTAAAAAATTTTCCAGTGAAACCATCCGAGCCCGGAGCCTGTTTAGAGCCCATGGAAAACACTATGCTCTGAACCTCCTCAGGGAGGACCGTTGTCGTAAGCATTGTGTTCATCTCTTGAGTAACACTCCTGGCAATCGGAAGGCCCTCTATTCTATTAATCATATTCATAACGGTCTTTTCCGAAGTGAATAGATTTCCATAGAAGTGACTGGCGATATCAGCTTTTCCTTTTTCATCCGTGACCCAATCCCCATCGTCATTACGCAAACCAGAGACAAAGTTCCGTTTACGACGAGTTCTAGTGACCGTATGGAAGTATGGGGTATTCTTATCACCCCTTTTCAGCCATCGAACACGGGATTTTTGCTGCCAGTAGATCTCCTCTGCATCCCATTGTCTACTAAGCTCCATTTCTAGTATTCACACCTCCTCCCAATTAATCGGGTGAGTGGTTTTAAGGTGCTCAATTTCTGCCTGGAGGGTTTTAATATTCCAGAGCAAATTGGCCGTGCCTGCCCGACTCCAATCGTAGAGAAGATGCCGAAGCTTTTTGAGCTTCTCCCACAATTGGTACATTGGGGTCCCCGTAATGGTCACTTGCCAAACATACGTTACCATAGCCCTGACTTCCGGGTTATCGGCCCAGCGAGTATCAAACCTAAATAAAGGTCGACTGTTACAAACATAGGGTTTGTCTGAGAGTAACAGGGCCCGATGGTCAGAACCAAGGTCAGTAAAGTGTTTCACAAGAGTATCCGGGAAGTGATCAATCCATGACTGGGAGCAGAGAGCCCTATCAAGCCTTTGACGAATACACGCATTCCCCATCCGTTTGTTAGTCCAAGTGAACTGGTCACCTTGGAAACGTGGGTCATGAAGGCCCAGATCTTGGATAAAGTCACAAAGACTAACAACTTGAGCTGCATTTCAAGGGTTCCCGCCATCTTTCTCATTTGCATGAAGGGTGGTTTTAAAATCACCAATGACCACAAAGGGGGAGAGGATAGTATCACATATCTCTCGAAGCTGGGCCAATTGATTGGCTCTTATTGAGGAGTTTCAGCTAATATAGACACAAAACACAACGTACGAAAAATCAACTTCATTAATTTGGATGCCAATACAAAAATTGGAATGAAAAAACACCGAGGAATCAACCTCGAGGGACCAAGCAACAACAAGACCACCAGATGCACCAACCGCATCAACAAAAAAGGTATTAAAAGACTCAAATCCTAACCCCCGCATACGACGGGCTACTAATCTCCGGCGAACTCTTGTTTTTGAAAAGAAGACAAGGTCCGGTTTATTCGAATGAACCAAACCAACAACAGTTTGGAATGTAAGGGATGGTCCAATTCCTCTTACATTCCAAGCGAGAAGTCTCATTTATTCAGGTGGAACCATTTTAGGCTGGGTTCCTCCACCGTAATAGCAGCATCCTTATCTTCCACAAATAGTTTTTTCGGGGTTGGGGGTTCACATAACTCCCCTCCAGTCTCCTGAAACGGGCGCTTCCTCGTATTAATGCTTGGATCATCATAATTCGATCCATATTCAGTGATCTCCTTGGGATCCTCCCTGACTTCCTGATGTTGTTCCAACTCACCACCACCGTCTTTCGACTCCGTCGCAGCCTCATTATTGGTGATCTCAGTTATTTTCCCGAGATTCACACCAGCCTCGAAGGCTTGTACTACACTCTTAACATGGTTAAGTTTAGTGTGCCGAGAGGGGCGAGGCTCCCTTGGAGGGCGGCGCTTCAACTCAAAGATGGGGATCTCCCCGTCTGAACTCGAATCCGGAGAGCCCATATTGGAGACAGCGCGTGGTGGAGGTAGCTCCACTTCAGCCATTGCATCCGAAATTGCTTTGATTGGGATTCCACCCAGTCCCCAGCAGCAAGATTAATAGGTGTCTGTGTAGCTGCCTGCCGGCTCGACAAGCCTTTTTTAGTAAGGCGACGCCTCCCTTTTTGCGCAGCCCCGGTCTCACGAGCACCAGCCTGGTTCACCGTTCGATCTCCTCGCGAGTTCTTCGAAGGTGGAGGTACAGGGACAGCGGTCTGCACATGCTGACTAGATTCCCCGATGACCACCTCGGGTTTGCCTAGTGGGCTAGTGTTTGCCATTTCACGCATGGAGGGAAAAGGCTCCTCGTCCTCGTCCTTCGACTCAGACTCGAGGATCAAACGGCGACGCCGCCCTTGTTCAATCATTGAGGAGGCGGCCAAGTTAGCGACCTTTTGGGTCGTTGCTTCAACTCGGGAGATGTGGGTCTCACCATGTACCACCCTTGTCGGTTGCCGACTCGGCAGTGGATTGCCAGCAGTAGTGAAATTACTATTTTTACGAGCAATCACTTTCTTGTCGGGACCATTCTGTCTTGTTTTATTGTAGCCCATATTAAGTTTTGGCGATCTCGTGATAGGGAATCCTCTAGAAGGTTTGGATTTCTCCTGATGGGGCAAAGCCTTTTGCGGACGAGAAGAATCACGGCGCTGCAGATGTCGAAGAGTGCCTTGGCCCGCTGGTTCTCTTTCTGACTTTTGCCGAGCCTGGGGCACCATTGGTTGGGCCGGTTGGGCTTTATCATTGACCCAAACAGTCTTTGGCCGTCTTGGATAGGGGTGAGAATTTTCCCCGGCCTCGAAGACCCTTCGTCCAAGCTTCTTTGTCATCATGTGTGGGCCAAATCTTTCTTTTCTTGTTGGTGGCTCAAAGGAGCAGAAGCTCTGCAAGTGGCCAATCCTGCCACAGTGGAAGCAAAAGGACGGGAGGTTTTCGTACTTCAGGCGGACCCAAAAACAACATGTTTTGTCACTAGCAGCCATCAGCTGAGAGCGCAAAGGCTGGGATAGATCGAGCAGCACTTTTACTTTCAGGAAGTATCTCCCTGTGTCTTGGAAGGAGTAGACACCGGATTCGAGAACCTGCCCCAGGGTATCCACCGCCATTTTTGTCCTGAATTTCACCGTAGAGCAATCATCCTTCACATCCCAGAGCTGGATACAGAAAGGTGCAATTGCAAGCTCATCATACATTTTCTTAGTAATGAGAGGCGACCAAGGGCGGAGATGAAGCAGTCGGTCATTTACCACCCACAGGCTACGTTTCAGGGTCCAGGTCTTCAATTCCTCATTCGGGAGAACAAATTCGAAGAGGCCATGCTTGGAGTGCATGACTTTGATCCGTCCTTTTCCTTGCCATGGGCCATTCAATCCTTCCCTCAACTCGGTCGGGGAGACTTGGTCGTTTGAAAACAGACGCCCAATCAAAGTATGTGAGCTCCTAAATTGAACCGATTGCTTTTCGTTCAAGGAGACTGAACCACTTGATCATCAGTCACATGCCTTGCCACCGTAACCTGCGTGAAATCAGGCAGTAGCAGATGATCAATCTCGGATTTGGGAGGATACGGGAAGAGATGGGGGATTTCAGAGCCCAATCGAGCTTGATGAGGGGGGAGATCGAGGCAGGAAGGGGGAGGGAGGTACCTTCGTTAGCCTGATTGCAGAGCAGGATCTCGATTTTATCTTCTTCTCTGGGTCGGCTGTCGTGTTGTTTTTATAAGTGAACTGACAGACTAGGGGAGAAGTTTAAATAGAGAGGGCGGACGAGGTTGCCGCTTCCTGTCAGGTCTCCATCTCCCTTACGGTACCGAAATTGAGGGGAATGGATAGACGTTTCCTTAGCCCAACAACCGTGTAAGATTGGAATTACGATCGGTTGGAAAGCGATTATCGTTTCTGTTTTTATTCTATTTTTCTTTCCCTTTTTTTCCGAATTATTCTTTTGTCGAGTAAATCGGGGGGAAGTCATCCTCGTCCCGGTCGAAAAAACAGGGATTTGAAATCCCTCCGGTTGCCAACGCTCATTGAGCCACCAAATCCGTTCCCGGTGGTCGGAGTCGCTGGACTTCGGGGTCATCGGACGAAATATATCCCGCCGGTCTGTAGCATTGCACTGGCTCGGGGGACTTATACAGAGAGCTCGACTCGACGGCCCATTTTGTTTTAGAGGCCACATATTAGGGTTTCTGGGCGTGACCTGAACAGTGACAGCCAGGATGTCATCAATGGGAAAAAATCCAAAAATGCACAAGCAATTAAAAAAATTTCCTAATCTACAACGCTTGTACAAATATTTCCCAAAATACCTAAGTTTCATGTGGTTCGAGTCAATAGAACTCGACCCACTAAGAGGTTCGAGTGACACTGCCTCGATCCATAACATCGCGGTAAAACCACTCGATTGGCGGAGATCTGACGACGGGGATCGAGCTTTAGCGCCGCGATCCGCGTAAATCGAGGGTGATGGACTCGATCTATGCCAAAGGAAGATTTTCCGTCTGCCGAAATCGTGGGGAATTACCATAAACGTTTCCATTAATTACCTTAGATAAAGGTTACCATTTAATACTTTACTTATTCTATTTTGAAAATAAACGCATATTTCTTAGCAAAGAAAAGGAAGGTCTTTCTTTAATCCGGTGCATGCATGCGGGCTGAATTCTCGCCCTATAATTAATTGACTAAAAAAAAAAGCTAAGCATTAAATAGGATAATTAATTGACACGGTAATTAAAAAAGCTAAGCATTAAATAGATAAACATTAGCCAATATAATTGACACGGTAATCCAACTTCAATGCCTTATCATCTGGTCGAATTAAATAGGGTAATTAATGAAAAAGTTTTTTATATTCCCCATAACATCGGCAACCGAAAATAGGGTTTACAGAGAGGTGGTTCGCGGGCAAGAAAATCGAACAGTGTAGATCGAGTCTTTCTCCCTCAATCTATTGCGTCCCTTGAGTTGATCGAGGCCCTGCCACTAGAAGTGCTTAGTGGATCGAGTTTCTTTGACTCGAACAACGTAAAACTTAAGTATTTTGGGAAATATTTGTATAAGTACTGTAGTTTGGAAATTTTTTGTTATTACTCGTACATTTTGGGAAATGTTCCTCATCAATGCCATCAACATCAAGATCAATTTGGAACGCCGAAGTCGGAACGCTATCCAAACAGTTTAGGTCGTCCGGAGAAGCGAGTTTAAATCTCCACACCTCCTTAATCGCAATCCTGCGATGCTTTTGCGTGAGGGGGAAGGCTAGATTTTCTCCCATAGGAGAGTTCTCTGGTTTCCATTTCATGATTCCGCTACGAGAGCCATGGAAACAACCCACTGATCATAATTTTGGTTGCGCAAGCTTGCTGCAAGGAGCGCCGTCATCGCTGTGGAGAGGAATCGTCCCAGCCAGTAGCAGAGTTGGAAGAGGGAGGCGAGAGCATTCCAGAGCATTTTTTTTGGGCTTGAGTGTGAAAGCTCTCCGCTTTTATCACGAATTAGTATCACTTTGGAAAAAATATGATTTACTTGCAACTTAATCATTGGGAATGAGAATGAGAATTCGATAGTACATGGTTTAGGAGCGAACTCGTACTCGACCCTTCCGTTTCTCATGAATCTTAGTTCGTGTTTCAAGTCGGTTAGAGCCTCCTTGATTCACCGCAAAGTTACCTACCTCTATAATAAAGCGTATGGTGAGCTAGCTAATGCGGGACGAGACAAGGTTGTGAAGCCAAGCTCAGCTGGACATCATGGTGGCAATTCAGATTCTGTTTTTGCCGTAAGCCGGGTGATCTTCATGCTCTCGCCAATTTTGAGCACTGTGCTTTAAAGTACAATTTGGAGTTGTAATATAACTTTAAATGTACAAATTTAATTTGTACCATAAGAGAATTAGAACCTTTATGGTATGATACAACTTCAAATTGTATAATAACATAAATGGTACAACTTTAGTTTGTACCATAAAGAGATTTATACAAAAGAGTATAAGTACAACTTGAAGTTGTACCATAACGTCACAATTTCATGTTGTACCATAAAGGAAAAAAAGTAAAGCACCAATGTTTTTTGAAGAATTGTAAAATTTCTCGTCAATTTTACGGTAGGTGATACAAACCACTTTATATGTAATTTTTGCCATGAAGTTGGGCATATTCAGCCGCAATGAAAGAGGAAGAACTTTAATTTTGTATTTATTACATACAAACTAGTTATATTATCTTTGAGTGTAACATTCTCTCGAAGCGGTGACGTTCGGGTTCGCAAACAGGACCGAGTAGCTCTCTTCAACTTCGACTTATGTCGTTGAGCCAACTGACTTTCCTTGGAACTGGAGGAGTGGAGGTGTTGTTTCTGTTGGAATGAGAGATATGTGAGGGGAGGGGTGGTCGTTGGCATCAGCGGCCGGCGTAATGGGGAGTTATGGAAGTCAAACGTGAGTGTTCATTGAAGTTGAGTGGTTTGGACTTTGGAGGTAGATGGAGTAGGGCAAGTTCACTTTTGTAGATGGGATTTATTTTGGATGGTAGTTTATGAAGGTAGTTGTAACGTGTGGCTAAGATGAAACCATGTCACTATATGGTGATTCAATAATGAAGTTGGTTATGTTAAAGAGCAGATGATAGGGTGTTAATCAAATTTTTGTAATCGGTTATATAGTGTTATGTCAGTTTGATAAGTGGTATGGTCTAACCGGTAGTATAATCGGTTAATCACGGCTAGTTCATGTCAGTTTTAGCAAAAATGTAGTGAAGTGGGAAATAATTAATTCTAAATTACTTTAGACACACATATATATAAAACATATTTGAAGGCAATCTCTTTAAGGATGCGTTTGGATGCAGGTATTTGAAATACATGTAATTGAAATTCGTTGTTGGATGCTAATTTGTAGTTTGTTGGTATTTCAGATTTTTAATTTAATTTTTAATTTTCTGATCACATAAAATTTTATAGAAATTACATTCTGGTACTCAAATTCATTTTTTCTTACAATTTTTGCTACACTTTAATTTTTTTTACAAAGAGGTCTAGAAATTTAGGTAGTAAAATTATGTTTTAGTAACTTTATATTTTTTGCCTTACACTATTGTACCTAAACATTTAAAATTTTACAAACAGGTCCAATATGCTGCTTTGAAAGATTTCAAATCACTAGTTGTTGCTATGTATTTGGAACTCGCAAGTAATAGTGTAATACACTAGACATGTATTTAGAAATCACCCCATGAATTTGGTTCAAATTCAAATGTCATATGTAATTAATATCCATACAAAAGATTTAGTATTTGAAAATCCAAATACTAAATTCAAATCTTGCTATCCAAACACATCCAAAAATATACATATGTAATTAATGGGAAAAAAATCTACATCTATATTTAAATAAAATACAACATTTTAAATGAACAATCTTCATATTCAAATATAAGATATAACTTCAACATCCAAATGTTTATACTTGAATTCAACAAATAACATAAATATCTAAACATTCATACTTGAATCGAACAAATAATATCAACCTTTAGCTTTCAATTCAAGAAAACAATCAAAATCATCTTTTTATTAATTAAATTGACCAAAGAGACTTTAGTTCGTTTAAAGATAGGTAATCTATCATGTCGGTTAATGACACTAAATTTATAGTGTTATCACTCCCATATTCGATTCATTCTCCCTTTTATGTCAATACATCTTTAGTGGTTTTGATTATATTTGATATTA